CTCTCTCTCTCTCTCTCTCTCTCTCTCTCTCTCTCTCTCTCTGTCTCTCTCTCTCTCTCTCTCTCTCTCTCTCCCCTTGCATGTTGGTGTTTGACTTTCTGTGGGAGGTAGTGGAGCAAACCAAAGCTGAGATCAGGTTTGAAAATTGATTTGAATGAGTGTTGTAGACAGCTGATAGCTGTGAAAGATTTTTTTTCTTCTTTTCATTTCCCAGGGAGTTTCTCCTTTGATGTCAGCTTGTAGTCAGAGCAGCTTTGAAGCTCAACTAGCGCAGGCCACAGCGCCACTTGATACTGAGAGAATTTGCGTTGCCGGTGTTTGTTGATTTAGCATACTGGGTTCATGTTTGATGCTTTTAGGTCTAATTGGTTTGAACTTTAATGGCAGCGGTAACCTTCACAGTGTCTGAAATGTGCATTTTTTTAATCAGAATTCCGATAAAAGGGTTTAGGTTTACACTTTTTTTTGCATTTAGGAGGATGTGTGTTATCTATCACAAATATGTATGATAAGTACATCATCATCTGCTCCAAGCTTTAACGAAAATTACCGTTTGGTGATAAAAATCACCTAAATGTTCCTTTTGCATCACACCGGTTGCCTCTCTGCATTCGCGTAAGCAGCCATACCCCGTTACAATCTAATCCCCACGAGGGAAAAATCCAGTCTCTTGCCTTGAATGCAGGGTAGAGGGGGGTCGTGAGGTCAAGTACGGCTAATTTATTCACTCAGTCAGATTYCCTCTGCCTCGTGGATGGCAGATGGAGAGGCCCGATATGATATCACCCATTTGAATCACCCAGGGGAGAAAGAGGTGGCAGAGGTGCAGACGACAGGGAGAGATGCAGGGATGAGGGGAGAGGAGATTGACAGGAAAGATGTACAAAGAAAAGGGGCACAGATAGTACAAAATTAGGGAATTAAAAGTGGTTAGATAAAGAGATAGGGCAGCCTAGCCCGCAAGAGCGTGGAGTGTGCTCGCCCCACTGAGTCAGCTGTTGAGCTGAACATTGAGCCACACAAGCTCTTATCAGATGTGTGTGTGTGTGTGTGTCCTTATCTTAAGACAAGTGGTTCTGGTCCAATAACATCCTGGGCGATGGTAGGAATAAGCTGCTTAGACCAAGATCTGACATGGAGGAATGAGGGAGAATAGATAGCACTCGGAAGATGAGAGGAAGTGATGAGGATGGAGAGAAAATGAAGAGGAGGAGGAGGCGGACAGATAAGAGATTTGGAGGACAACATGGGGACATCTAGGAAAATTGGGACGTTGAGGTCTGTAAAAATTAGAACTGACTGAGAGGATGTGGAAACAGGTGTTTTTTTTGTCAAAGAAGAGGGAATTTAAGAAGAGTTTATTGTTTAAATTACATGTTGGCTTATTTTTAAGAACTGCTGCTGGTGTCAGCTTGAACACACTTTTTCTCGAAAGGACCTTTTCTTTTATGTAGGATTTCTTTACTTCATGATCATTAAATGAATGCACTTTATTTATCGTTCGGAAAATTGACAGTAATTTGAGGTGTTCGAGAGACTTATTCACGATGAACCTTAAAAGCAAAGGAGTTGTTTTTAAGCCATTATTGGGCTATTTACTGGTTGGCTGTAAATGGTTAATGAAGTTTTTTAAATTGATGTTTTTCTAACATTTTTTTAGACAATATCGAGGAAAATCTACCTGTGCACACTAAATATACTAACATTCAAATGTATTGTTTGTGTATCCTCAGACTGATTTCTAACTGAAGATGAGGAACCAGCTCTGAAGACCTACTGATGTCCACCTTTCCCGGACMTTTCGGCTTCGGCATCACTTATTACCCAGGAGGACACAATCTATTTAGATCATTTACAGACTGTTTCACTAAACTGGTTCAAAGTGTGACTTCTATATATATTGGCATTTGCCTGGTTTGAATAATTTGAACTGAATTGCTGCCGTGTGAATTTGGCTGGTGGACATTAAATTGTGCGTTTAAGCTAAGCTGAACTGCTGCTGGCTGAAACTCTGTTCCCCACCCCCTTGTTACAAAGGGGTCTTTTTTAGCCCCGTCCTCTAGAGACTAAATCCTTCCAGTCACCATCCCAGATTCCCGCACCTCCTCAGACCCATTCCAAGGGCCTTCAGCATTGTCTTCAACCTCTCTGAGGAGGATTCATCTCCTCCTCCTCTTAAAATTCTAACAACGTCTTTTGACCGCTCAGACATGGACCTCCACAGGGCAGCCTTCAAGATGGAGAGCTCCTCCTATCTGCCTAATCCTCTTGCCTCCCCAGCCCTCATGGTCTTGGCCTCCACAGCTGAAGCTTCCCGCGATGCTTCAATTCCCTGCCAGCAGCCACGTCCGTTCGGAGTCCCAGTTTCTGTCGAAAAAGACGTCCATTTGCCATTCAACAATGGCTCCTACACTTTTGCATCAATGTACCACCGCCAAGGTGCAGTCCCACCAGGATTTCCCAACAGGGATTTTCCTCCATCCCTCCTCCACCTGCATCATCAGTTTGCACCACCTAACCTGGACTGTTCACCCATCAGCATGCTGAATCACAGTGGCGTTGGCGCCTTCAGGCCCTTTGCCTCACCTCCTGAAGATCGGGACGGGGCACCAGGCGGTTATCAGTCTGCTTTCACTCCAGCCAAGCGCCTTAAGGGCTGCCTGGATCCTGAGGCTTCCCCCCACCTGCGGTACTCTGATGCTGAAGGGAAAGAGTATGATTTTGGTGGTGCTCATATTCCTCCTGGAGGCTCACCCAGCAGCGCACTGAAGGCCGTTGAGGACAGTGGGAAAAAGATCTTCGCTGTGTCAGGGCTCCTGTCCGATCGAGAGACTTCTTCCAGCCCAGAAGACCGCATTGAGCGCTGTGAGTAACAGTTATATTCATTTTTATGAAATATAGGGCTCTATACACATTTTGCAAGAAACTTTTTTTAATTAAGATTATGAGTAGATCAAATTGAAACATAGTTCTATAAACCACAAGTGGTTTGATCAGTTCAACAAGAATACTCACTGTATTGTTAATCTCTTGTCTAATCAACAAAATCTTCTGGGAAACTTTGTAATATACACTACCATTCAAAAGTTTGGACACCTTCTTATGTCATTTATTGACAGAGTGTGTCTAAACCTTTGATTGGTGCAGTATTGTATTAAGAAGTACTCTCCAACTATTTTATCAAAGCACTCAAAAATCTCTAAAACTTACAGCATTGTCTCGAGTCTCCTGGAAGTTCAGCATTGATTTGTTACGATGGGTTTTCCTCATGTACATACAAAGTTTTGTTTTTGTTAAACTCATATGATAACTTCCTTTAATAACTTCTCAAATTATTCTACAAGTGTGTGCAACACTGAAACCTCCTGAAACAATCCTGTCTGTGTTCCCTTGTCATCATCTCTCCTGGCTCTCGCTATCCTTGTTTCACAAGTCCACAGGCTCCACTGGTCACATTAGCATTCACCAGTGGAAGGGTGCCATTTGGCCCTTACACACTGGGAATCTGATTAGTGTGTGAGCATGCTCGTGTGTGTGTGTGTGTGTGTGTGTGTGTGTGTGTGTGTGTGTGTGTGTGTGTGTGTGTGTGTGAGAGAGAGGGTGGGAGGGAATGTTGTAGTTAAGAGTAG